ACAGCTTCGGACTTTATCCTCTTTTTTCTCCTTGTATGCTCGATCTGCCATAGCAAGATGCTGACTATAATTCTCTTTATGAACTGCTTGTTCTTGAAAATCAGAAGTTGTATCAATTAAGGAATTATATCGATCGCACTTTGCACAAGTATCATTAGAAGGAGGGTGAAATGACAAGTTAAATTTTTCAGCGAATATTTTTCTATAAAATGACTCTAGTTCAGGTGTTAAATTGTGGGAAGTACAATGATCTTTGTATAGCCGATACATTTTCGAAATGTTCAAATCTTGAGACAAATATTTTTTTTCAGTATGCTATCTGGAATAATGGCTTACATAGGAAGAAAAACTTTTAATGTGGTCTTCTATTATCGTAACTGCGTCGTCAGTGACTTTCTGTTGATGTCCTTGCCTTCCTCTTTGGTCTTCAGGGCAGATGCCGCTTGTGCAGTCTCTTTTCTTCTTAGCTAATACTTTTATTTTTCCTGGTTTTATATCGAGAGTATTTAAAAACATAGTACGGCAAACTTGAACTTTTTGTCCCTCATTATTTAGAAAATCAAAAATTGTAAACTGTCGTTTGCTTGGCTGTCGATTGTGTCGAAGTCTTTCAACTTTTTTTTCAACTTCATTAAAGTTCTGAACGATAAACTGATTTTGAGAATTTAAGTCTGGTGCATAAAATTGTTGAAAAATTCTTAGTCTAATATTGTCTGGAAGTATCTCTGCACATTTCCGTTAACATGAGCACGCAGGTTTTAAAAATTTTCCAGGAACAAACTTATTTGTCGTTGAGAAATAAGGGTTTCCCTTGTTTCTTGCATCCCGGCGCTTATTACGCTGCCAACCACTTGGATTTCTTTTTCTCTCCCTTGTTTTCTCTTCTTTTGTCAATGTATTTCTTCCTTTGCCTTTTTTTAAGCGAGTATTGGAAGCATTCTCAACTAACTCATCACCAGATGACGACTCATGGGAGGGTTCATAAACATCTGAACTATCAGACAAATACAAATTATTGTGCACGTCAGCGTCCTCATAATCTTCGTCTGTTTTAGTATCTAGTGATGGCGAATGTAATCCAGCGAAGGTCGATGGAATACTCTCACCATAGGTATTATTGTGCTCGTCAGCGTCCTCACAATGTTCGTCTGTTTTAGTATCTAAGGATGGTGAATGTAATCCAGCGGAGGTCGATGGAGTACTCTCACCATAGGTATTATCTAGTGAAAGTTGATTTGTGGATATGTCTGAAACAAAATAAATAAGTTAAGCATACTTTTTTGTAATGGATGTAAAATTTTCCAAATGCAATATGTTTAAATATAAACATATAGATTTTTTTATATATCAGCAGTTAAATAAGTACTAAACCATAAACAAAGCGAAAAAGAGAAATGTTATGTACAAAAAAAATGACTATTGTATAAAAATAATTGTATCCTAATAAAAAAAGAGAAGATCAATTCTATAATTTATTTGTTTTCTGCAAAAGATACGAACATATTTATTTATGTAAAATATTTGGGTATTACCGCAGATATAAGTTATCCGAAAGTTTTGGCAACTGCGCTTATATATGCTGCACCAGTATAGTTTATAATTTAATAACAGGCTCAGGCTACTGACTTCTAATCAATGACTAAATGATTAAATAAATTATGAATAAAACGTAGGTACTTGATATCAACTTACCCTTATCAGAATTCCTTATACACATTTGCACTAAAGTTTTTCCCCGTGAATACATTTTGTACACTTCTTGTCTATTTCAATTTTTAATACCGAACTTAATTTAGTCACAAAAATAACTTCAAATCAACGGCAAAAACTAAGATCAAATCGACCACAAATTTATTATCTTCAAATTAGACATAGACTAGGTCTAGGTACACAAATCTCAAATATAAAATAACTGGAATAAACCCTTAAGCAAACATTGCGACGTTGCCGCTGCAAAAACCAAGAAGTGATTGTTACGACATAGGCAGTTCTGACATTAAAAATTTAAATCTCAATAATACCTAAGTCGACTTATGCATTTCTTGTACAAATTTTCAGTTTAACCAGAAAACCTATGTCTACATAGGTATTTCTAGTACTAATTTTAAAAGAGACTTTGAGAGATAGGTATTTATTGAATTTATGAAAATGTGATTTTTAAGGCTAGATGGACTTAAGCATCTCTTGCACTGAAACCGTCGTGGTTTTTTAAGACACTTAGACTAAAAATGTCAAAAGCGAAAAAAAGTGACTTGGCACTTCTTGTACCAAGCCACAGTGGTGTTTGTTGTTTCAAATAAATTTAGTTAATTTAACTAATGTTTTTCAAAATTTAGGCAAATTTATAAAAAAGTGACTTCAAATTAAAAAAAATGAAGGTTTCATATCATGACTATCAAAGTTTGACTTTACAATTTCTTTTTGTTACAATCTGAGTAATACTAATCCTATAAGAGACCTCTTAAAAGATATTTATCCTGATTCCACTACAAATATTATCTAGGAAGATATGTATGGACCTATTTTCAGCTTTCGTATAGGTTCAAAAATTTATGTTTAAGCTTAAATAAGGAAATACACAGAATAACATCACAAGACAGGAAAGGATTTGGCCGGGATGTTACAGAAACACTCTTTTGACTTTTGGTCTAGCTTTCGGAATTTTTTAATTATCAAGTCACTGTAATTAGGAAAATGTGTAAATATTTACAATATATCACAAAATGTCAGTGTACTTACTAGTCGTTGAGATTATTTGTAAGAAGCTATAACACATAACATTTATAACAAACATATAAACTATAACTTATACAATAATGGATACAATACATTTTAAAATTCAGTTAAAAATAATAAAAGTTCTAAAAATTCGTTTTCTACATGTTCTTGGTGTGTTTTAACTTACCCACAGAGAATAAAAAAAAACAAAAATAAAAATAGTATGATTAAAAATTCATTAGGAGTTCTTCATATGTTATTAATAGAAGATAATGTATTAAACCTGTATTGATGGTATGCAACCTGTTTAGCATGCAGGTGTATTATGGTGTGTATATGTACAAGTAAGTCTTTGTGTCATTTTTGATGTTTAGTCAGTAAATAACAATAAATGTTACTCAATTTGTCATTTGTCATACTCAATTTGTCTCTCTAATTGCGATCTAATCTGCGCTAATTGCGATTTATGTTACATTGATCAGACTGGTAGATCATTAAAAGGTCGTCTTACTTCACATCGTAGTGACATTAATTTATCAAAACACACTTGTGCCTTGGCACAACACGCGATAAATACTAAACATAAAGTGGATTTCAATGAAGTTAAGATTTTTGCCACTGAACGCAATCTAGCTAAAAGACAGTTTTTGGAAATGTGTTCAATTCTAAAACGTCCTAATGCTTTAAATAAGAGAACTGACATAAGTAACTTGAGCCAAATATATCATGCTTTAATTTTGCAGAATTAGGCTTTATAATCTTTTCATTATATAAAATGTCATGTAAGGTGTACTACTTGAACTCTTTTTCCAATTTTCATTAAATAATTAAAATACATAAAATAGAAATGAAATACATAAAATAATTAAATAAAATCATTAAATATTCTTTACTTAACTCACTATAACATTTGCAACTTACATTGCATATTCTTACACTGATTACTTAGATTAGTGTGAACATTTTTTACTAAAATAACATAATACAAATATTGTAATTGATTCATAGAATCCTTTGCAAATTACAGTTCCAAATGTATGTACCTTGGGCTGTGGAAATTAATTTATCGTTAACCACCTGTGGCTGATTATCTAGCCATAATGATTAACGTTATTACTTATATATGAGGTTGAATGAAAATCTCCTGCTTGTAAGTCTAAACTGACTAATGAGAGGAGTTGCTATTATAATACCAATTTCTTTCACTGGTTTGTCCTTTACAACCGGGTAGTCATCCAAACACATTAAAACTTTTAAATTGACCGCCCATTTATTTGGGTTGGTACCTCCAGCTTTCTGATCTGTCAAAAGTATTTTGACCTCAAGGTTGGCTGTCTTTTTGCGGTTTAGTTCGTTCTGGTTCATCTAACGCCATTTTTCCGGCGACAGCTGTAGGGATTTGATCGGTAACTTCATTTACACTACTTTTTAAATAAAATTTTTATTAATATCACCTATAATGCTTCCTAAAGTTAAAATCAAAGCTTAATAATCATTAAGTAGTTGGAAGTTGTCTATGATTTTCTTGGTTCTTTTTCACTAATTAAGATTAAATAATATTTCATTTACTTTAGACCACATGGTCATTTGCTGTGCTAATTTTTTATAAGTTCCTATATGTTGTTAGTTACTTGATTGTTTATACAATATCAGCGTATTATGTCCATTTACTTAAGTTTCATTCACATTATTGTAAATAACTTTGACTGCTACATGTCTTTTTAAGGTAACAATTAACATCGTTTCCATGATTGTGTGGTTCTCATATTGTACTTTTTAGATAAACTGATGATGCTTTCAAAACTCGAAAGCGAAACGTCTTCAAAATAGATAAAGTGGCCTATCAACTTTGTCTTTTATTTAGATAGGACTTAGTGACTAAGTGAGTATTAATAGATATAGATATTTTGGGTTTTTTAGTCAAATACTGGCCTTAAAGGCTTTAAAGGTAAAACATTCCATGGATTTGCGATTCAGTCGCCATTCGTTGAGCAGCAATACTTTTTGTATGGTTTGTGACATAGCTTTATTATCATTAAGTATTATTTTGACTCTGACCAAAATGTGATCTGTTTTCACAAAAGCTCATTTTAAGACTCTGATAGTTTTTCTCCTTTTAGATTTAATTCTTATGAGGTCGTTGGCCTTTCGTTTCCTTTAGTACTTTTCTTCCTTTAGTATTTTTCTATAGTTTTCTTTCATTTGCTAGTCTCTTCAATATTATTTTTTAAGGAACATTTCGAATTAAATAATAAATATCCAAAATTTTCATTATTTATTTTTTATATGGAACGTTCAGTTTACCCATTAACAATCATTAACACATTCTCCACTTGTTGTATCTCTAAAGTATCCTATCTTACACCCACAATACGCATTACATTCAAGTGTACAACCACTACATTTGGGTGCTTTATTTTCACATGTTGGTTCGCCACAGCAGTGTTCACATATTTGTTCCTCATTTTCTTTGGTACAATTTAGGTAAGAATCTGTAATTAAGAAACAAATTTTAATTTTTCTGTTTGTGTTTGTTAAACAAACATATATTAGTTTAGGCTGCCAAAGATTTGTGATTAACAATAAAACACTAAAAAATTTGTTTTCAAACTTCCACAAAATTCCACTGAAAACAAAGTTTTCAGTGTTTTATTGTTACATAAAATGAATTTCCATGAAGCAACGGTCGAATCCATCAATTATTTGTGATTAACTTGTAAAACTCATAGAAAGTAGATCTAGAAAATCTTAAATCTATTACTTTAAACAGTAAAGCAGAGGATATACTTAAAGTAGACAACTGGGTTATACGTGGTACACACAAAGATCTAAAATTTTAGAAGGATCAGACGTAGGAATATTCAGTAGTAGTGGAAAATGAAACATATCTATTCCACTAAAGTAATGTTTCTTTAGTTTCTTCAAGCAGACAATTTTAAATCCTTAACTGTTCAAGAGAAATTGATATGAGAGCTTTGGGACTGAAGCAAATCAATATATTCACAGATAGCCACGCAACCATAATTAAAACCGATTTACAACAGACGTCCATTAAATGCCACAATTTTGTTCTCAAAACTATATCATGGGCCAAGTACAAACTTGGCTAAAACTATGGCTTTTCTCTTCTTTTCTTTATACCATTGTCTGGAGTTGCCACTTCTGGCAAAATACATCCCACCTTCCTTACACGTTTTCTTATTTTCTGTTTAAAATTTAGTAGTTGTTAATAGGATTTTATACATTCTCTATATATGTTGTTTCCATTTTGTTGTGTATTATTTTATCTACTATTTTTGTAAGATAAGTCTGTACAAGAACTATCTACTGTAATGACACTTTGATTTTATGTTTATTATTTATTTTATTTTATTGTAAAGTCCTGTTTTATCAGGAAACGATTTTGATAACTGGTCTTTACAAGACACCCCACTCTTACTAATAGCTGCACTTGCCGCTAAACCCCGTGCAATTACGTTGGTAAGCAGGCTAAACTAGTTAAGTTAATGCCCATTACAAGAGTAAGTTTGTTATATTAACAGATAGCAAAAGTTCGGTAGACACAATAATACAAACTAAATTATCAAGCTCTTTATCAATAGTGATTACAAGAATTTTAAAAGCGGTCCAGTCACTTACAAATAAAGGTAAGAAATTTCTTTGGTTTGGATTTAGGCCCATTATGGAATTTACGGAAATGAAATAGTGGATAGTCTGATAACCAACCGAAAATGCATAGAAAACCGTTTTAGGGTATTACAAATCGGCACTTCATTAAGACCTTAAACAGAACAAAGAACAAACATGTTTTATATCCATCCCACAAAAAGAATATAGGGTTGGTCAATTCTCAAATCTGCACTTGCGGAGAGTTGAGTACATTAAAACGTGTGATTTTCGATTGTGCAAACTTTCAGACGCTAAACCAAACGTTATTCAAAAATCTACAAATAGCAGCAACTACTCTCCTTACCAATTTAAATGCCATTCTATGTACACGTAATATAAATGTCTACAAAATTGTTTATAGCCATTTAAAAAATATGAAAATTGATATTTAACCCTGCCGTCCTGTTCGGGTCTATTTGACCTAAAAAAATTATTTCTTATTTTGCAAATTATTATGCGGCGTAACGTTCTGCTGTTTTGTGACTTTATTACCTGATATGAGGTCTTTCAATTGCATATGAGATAAAAAATCAACTTCCTGATTTTTTTGATAAAGATTAAATTGTACGTTCGAGTCAATATGACCCACGTATTTAAACCGTTAAAAATTACCTATGTACGTTTGTTTAGCTGGCAGCATTTTATATATTTTTTAACAGTTTGTCAGTCAGGTACGTCTTTAGATAGAAACAAGTTTCTATAAGCTAGAACTTGTAAAAAATGTGTAGTATAGCTGGAGGATGTCATTTAGAAGGGCTTATCACGTAGATGGAAGTTTAGGTGATAGACAAGTGGTAGGCTGATAGGACACTGATATACCAAGCGCATTCATTTACATTTCAAATTTCAGTCTATGTTTGCATGTTGATAATGTCGCATCGAAGAACGCTAACCGAAGATGATCATCGCGAGCTCGCGAACATGTCAGACAGTGAGGAGTGCATCACTCTCTGACAATATCAGAAACAGAAAACAATACAAGTAGTGAGAGTGAGGAAGAAACTAGTAATAGGTTTTAATAACAGAAAACAATACAAGTAGTGAGAGTGGGGGAAGAAACTTGTAATAGGTTTTAATAAGAAGACTACTAGACGGGATAGGAGGCGTACTGATAAACTTGCTGCAATACGTGAAATTTAGAAAAAATGGGTAGAAAATCTACTAAAATTTTTTAACCCTGATGAAAATGTTCGACGAGCAATTAGTTGCCTTTAGAGGCCGCTGTCCCTTCAAACAGTACATTACAAGCAAACCAGCGTAATAGGGCATACAAATTTGGGCTTAATGTAACAGTAAAAGTTCCTAAGCTCAAAAATTGCAGATCTATGCAGGAAAGGAAGCAGGTGCCGCTGCGGAACGGAATCAGAGAATGCGTGTGGTGTGCGACTTGTGTAGTAATTTTAAAGGCCACAATATCACTTGTTATAATTTTTTTAAATCATACAATTTAGGACAACTTCTGCTAAAAAAAATAGTTCGTCTTTTTACTTCACGCAAGATACCACTGTTGTTAACTATATTCCTAAAAAGAATCAAAATGTTATTCTTATGAGTACTTTGCATCATGATAAGGCTATTGGTGACAAAAATGACAAAAAGCCCCAAATTATTTTAGATTACAATTCCAGTAAGGGAGCAGAGGACACTCTGGATCAGCTTGTTGGTACATATACATGTCAGAGAAAGACAAATCGTTGGCTTATGATTGTTTTTTATAGTATGCTGGACATTTCTTCCAACTACACGTTCGTTTTATGGACATCAACAAATCCCCAATGAAACACCAACAAACTTACAAAACGGCGGATTTTTTCTTGAGGAATTGAAAACTAAAAACTCACAAGAACTGGTAAAAAGAACAGGAACGGAAGCGACTAGAGAAGATGGAACCTCTAGTGAACCGTCTATGGACAATCCAACTCCGCCTGCTAAACGAGCACGCTGTAAATTTTGCTTCAAAAACGATAAGAAGACTAATATTTTATGTTATATATGGCACAAACTAAACTTTAGTTGTAAACTAAATTAAATTTTGTAGGTAATTGTTTTTAGGATTTTCTGGGAATGCCTTGCCGAATGATTACCGGTATAAGTAATCCCCCACCTGTTGGTCAACAGCTAAGGGTGGAAGAACCGACACGTGATAGGGCACTTCATTGCCCTGGAGCATAGAAATTAACTCCGAAGGCGGAAGAACTAAATTAGTCAACGGCATTGAGATGTGGAAAGCCAGGGGATGACTACCACATTAAAGATCCGTAAGGATATCCTTAGTAAAAATCATCATGGACCCACTAATGGATAATTTACTTAATGATCATGGAGCTCGGAATCCAAGATCCGGCAGGGAAGGACAATCAGATTTAGACGACAGGGCCTCTCAGGTCGTCAACAAGGTAAATCCCTGTCAAGCAAATAACTCTATAGCCTTGAAAATCGGAAAATGGAACGTAAGAAGTTTATACCAATCAGGCAAACTGGATAATGCTGTGTCGGAAATGTGCAGAATGAAAATTAATATACTGGGCCTTAGCGATATACAATGGCCTGAATCAGGAAAATGTAAGACTAGAAATGGAACGATGTATTATTCTGGAAACAACGATTCCAAGCACAAACGGAGAGTTGGCATTATAGTTGATAATAATTCTCATAAAGCTGTATGTAACTTTGTTCCCTACTCTGACCGTGTATTAATGCTGTCTCTAAATTCTCGTTTAAAACGTAAAATAAATATAATCCAAGTATATGCACCCACTGCAGAGAAGGATGAAGACACCATAGAGGCCTTCTATGAACAAATCGACAATGTCTTAAAACTAGCTAAAAGACAAGATATAAATATTATAATGGGCGATTTGAACGCTAAAGTTGGCCAAGGAGAAGTGGAGAATTGCGTGGGGCGATATGGACTCGGGGAAAGGAATGAACGTGGCGATAGGCTTGTCGATTTCTGTGTCAATGAGGAACTCATAATTACAAATACCTTGTTCAAACTTCCTAAACGTAGACTATATACATGGAGGTCACCAGCTGACAATAACAACAAAATAGTCAGAAATCAAATAGATTATATTATCGTCAACAGAAGATATAGAAATTCTATAATATCATCTAAAACTTATCCAGGAGCGAACATATCCTCCGACCACAACCCGGTTGTTCTGTCGATGAGAGTGAAAGTAAAGAAGGTCAACAGCCCTAGCACCAAGAAAATCATAGATACAAGACGTCTCAAACAAGACAACACATATGTGGAAACCAAATTTAAAATAAACGAGAGCTTAAGGAAAGTCAAAGAAGATAATGCAGAAACTCTAACTATTGACCAAAAATGGGGGAAAATTCAACATGCCCTTGTGTCATTTTTAAAAGAAACCTTCAAACCACTTAAAGAAAAAACAAAACCTTGGATGACAATAGAAATTCTTGAACTCATGGAAGAACGAAGAAAACATAAAGCAAAAGACCTGAATAAATACAAAGAAATTCAGAGAAACATCAGAAAGAAAATTCGAGAGGCAAAAGAGAGGTGGCTCTCCGATAGATGCAAGGAAATAGAAGATCTGGATAAAAAGTACGATAGCTTTAATTTACACAAAAAAATCAAAGAAATAACAGGTTCTAGAAAGCGTACAAAAACGAATATCCTTAAAAATGATAAAGGGGATATTATTACTGATATGAAGGAGAGATTATGTCAGTGGACCAATTACATTCAACAACTATTTAATGATGAAAGAGAAGAACTGTCATTAGAAATCACCGAGGATACTGGACCACCAATATTAAGAGAAGAAGTCATATATGCCATCAAAAACACAAAAGAGGGTAAAGCTACTGGACCAGATGAGGTGCCCATCGAATTATTAAAACTCATCGATGAAGATGTTATTGATGTAATGGTTGAACTCTTTAATCTAATATATCAGACTGCCACAATCCCCAGACAATGGCTGCAATCAACCTTTGTAGCAATTCCCAAAAAACCAAGTTCAACAACTTGCTCAGACCACAGAACAATAGCTTTAATGAGTCACACACTTAAAACATTTTTGAAAATAATTCACAGCAGAATTGTTAAAACTCTTGAATATGAGATTAGTGACACACAATTTGGCTTTAGAAATGGTATGAGTAAAAGAGATGCTTTGTTCGGCTTGAATGTGCTGGCTCAGAGATGCATGGACATGAATCAGGAAATGTACTTATGTTTTGTAGACTTTGAAAAGGCATTTGATAAAGTTCAACATAAAAAGCTTGTAGATATATTAAAAAGCAAAAATATTGACAGTCGCGATCTGAAAATTATATCTAATTTATATTGGAATCAAACTGCCAAGGTAAGAGTTGACAGCCAGTACACCAAAAATATCAAAATACAGAGAGGAGTCCGCCAGGGTTGCGTGCTGTCCCCACTGCTTTTCAATGTCTACAGTGAAGCGGTATTTCAAGAAGCGCTCTCAGACTCAATAGAAGGTATATCTATCAATGAAGAAGTTTTGAATAACTTACGTTTTGCAGACGATACAGTAATAATTACGGATAACAACAATGATTTACAGAACCTAATGCAACGTCTTAATGAACGCTGTCATGAGTACGGACTGAAGATAAATTTAAAGAAAACTAAATGCATGATCATGAGTAAATCTGCACATGCAAATATCCAATTGACTATTGAAGATACTGCAATTGAGAATGTTAATAACTATAAATATTTAGGAACATGGATAACATCAGATGTAGACCAAACCAAAGAAATTAAGACACGTATTGCAATAGCACGTACATCATTTATTAAACTTAAAAAGTTTCTTTGTTGTCGGGATATAAGGTTAGAACTACGCCTGAGAATGCTTCGATGTTACGTGTTCTCTACTCTTCTTTATGGTCTGGAAGCTTGGACACTAAAACAAGTTCATCTGAATAAGCTGGCCGCCTTTGAATTTTGGTGTTACAGAAGAATCCTACGAATATCATGGATTCAAAGAATGTCAAACATGGAAGTAACTAGAAGGATAGGAAATGAGGCGGAAATAATATTAACTATTAAAAGACGAAAACTTGAGTACTTGGGACATGTGATGAGAGGGCAAAAATACGCATTATTACAACTTATTATGCAGGGCAAAATCCGAGGAAAGCGAAATGTGGGAAGAAGAAGAATATCCTGGCTTAAGAACTTAAGGGAATGGTTTGAATGCAGTAGTGCAAAACTTTTTAGAGCGGCAGTCAACAGAGTCCGCATAGCCATGATGATTTCCAACCTTCGATAGAAGATGGAACTTAAAGAAGAAGAAGGGAAAGAAAAATATCTTTTATTTTTGTTAATAAGGTTTAATTTAAATTAGCAACATAATTATTGTTTAATTAATTATAATTTTTTGTTAATACAGTTTTGCTTAGCACCATTAGCTTATTTGATTTCGATTAAGGACCGTAAACCATAGTTGGGTCATATTAACTCAAACAGTACATTTGCACAGTTGACTCGAACGGTACAGCAGGGTTAAAAAAATAAATAAATAAATAAATAAATAAAATATTTAAAAAGAAAAAGAATAAAATAATTATATACAATAAAAAAAATAAATAAAAAAATGGATACAAAAAAATACATATATGAAAAACAACCCAAAAAGAGGGCCTAAACCTCCGAGGTGTTAAATCGGGTTTAGGTCATAGCGCTGTGGAAAAAAACATATTTACAGTTAGTATTAGCACAGATTAAGAGAACACAATCTGTTTTGACAGACAAAAAAATAGCATATTTATGTTATCTTTATACACAATGCTGGATATTTACATATCAAGAGCACTTGCCAGTTACTTGACAAGTACTGCTACGTAGCGAGTGACCACCTTAATTAAACTGGTCTGTTGCACCGAAGATCGTACTACAAATACACCAAGAATTAAATTTGAGATAAACTTGAGCACGTAAAAAATACGTACATAAACTAACAAAAAAAAAATCACAGAGCTTACCGCAACTTTTATGACGATGAAAATATCAGATCTGGTTCAATTAAATGATCAATCTAAATATAAAATAAATAAAAGATATTAGGTGATTATGAGGTTATCCTTACCAGCTTGGTTAGTCATTATAATGACGATTAAAGCTGCAAAAATTGTAGAACATACCATTTTCATTTTTAATCTAGTTATGCCCTTAGATACTTTGTTACCGAACGCACTCTGAAAATAATTTCGTTTATTTTGAGTAAAGAGGACCTTTTATATACAGATAAAACCCACAATTTATTAAACAATAACCGATAAACAATACAATAGTAATAAATTTGTAAAATAAAATTAAAAAATATACTTCGCTTATTCCAAATGATTTGATTCGATTAAGTATATACAATAAAAATAAACTATAATTTCTGATGGAAAATTACGCTGAAAAGTTGAGAAGCCATATTTAAGTTCAATATTGTTATACAGAGTGCGCCAAACCTCCCCTGGTTTTCTTTTATTACAGCTAAACTATAGAGTATATTTATTATAAATATTATGTACGTAACAAAACTGATGTATATCAAAGACGTCTTTAATTTAAAATTATTTTTGATTATACAGGATCAGCCAGAACAACTAGAATACCCCATATATTCATTTCGAATATATGTTTTTTTAAATATGAAGAGTTTTTCAAGGTTTTATAGGCCTAAAGTTATTAATTTTTAAAATATTTACACTTTTATTGACAAAAATGGTAATATTTAAATCGAATGGAAAAAATATAATTTAATATTGTCATTGATATCCAGGCATGTAATATATATATATATATATATATATATATATATATATATATATATATATATATATATATATATATATGTGTGTGTAAATACACACATATATATATATATATATATATATATATATATATATATATATATATATATATATTGATACGCAATACGTTGTTACCTCCGGTATGTAGACAAGGCGACCTGACCTCCACCTTACCCCTTTATTTGATTGTAATGAAATATAGATATATGGAATAAGAAAAATATCAGTTGTATTATTTCAGAGAGAGGGGAAAACAATTCCAAAAAAAAAATAAAAACCTTATTTCCCATTTAAAATACTTAGTGACCTCCGTATATTCCTTCAATTTTCGTCAGTAAAGATATCGATGTGTCTTCCAACACGGTTGCCATTGTTTGGAGGACACTTCATACCTACTATGTACTTCATATATACTATGTTGTGCAGCCGGTTAAAGGCTTAAATAGTGGGCATGTAAATTGAGAACTAAAGAATTCCGAGATAACAGTAATGTCTTTTAAATGTTAGGTATTTAAAGAAATTATTCAACATTTATTATTAACTTTCTGTGATGACGATGCTGATAATATCGTTATATTTCTAATATTAATTTATTAATTTAAATAATAATTTATTATAAGGTCTTAAACAAACAAACTAAGCCTTAAAACTTATTTTATATCTATTAAATTTAATTTTTTTGTTACACATCGTTTGGCCCGTATTTTGTACGGATTCTTAATTATATCTAAAATTAAAACACAAATATACTTTTCTTCGTGTGCTGGTCCTCTATTTATATACCTATGTCTTTAAAAAACAATAACCTACGTTGGTCCTCAATGCAATGTACCTTTATTAAAAGTTAAACTAAAACAATCTCTTGGTCCTTAGTTTATATACCCCTTTGTCGGCACAGCAAATGAAGTGTTTAAAAACTAAGGCTGCGTACAGACGAACCACTTTTTGAAGTCGAAGTCGGTAGCAAAATAGCGCTGACTTGTCGCTAGTATCGGCGTTTTCTGTGGTTCAGATCGACTTCTTTTTGTAGTTAACAGCCGCGAGAAACTGTAGTCTGTACAAGCACATTAATTATGAATTTAAATGAAGAATCATTGCTTTTTTTACCGTCTTCTAAAGCGCAGACAAAGAAGGAAGTTCAGCCTGAACTGCAGTAATGAGTAGAACGGCTCCATTTGTGTCAACACTGCGTTAAAAATCCACAAATGCTTGTACTTTTTGTCGCTGCTACCGGCGTTTTAAAGTGGTTTCGTGTGAAAAGAGAATCGCTACAATTATTGAGAACCCAGCCGGCGGCGAGAGGGGCAACAACCGACGACAAAAGTTATAATGCAGTCGAGAAAAGACCCATGTGAAAAGGAAATGCATTTTGCATTGTTGTTAAATGACAACTTCAAGTAGCGACAGACAACCACAAATGCTCGACTTTTTGCTGCCGACTTCAACTTCAAAAAGTGGTTCGTCTGTAAGCGACCTAAAAGTCAGCGGAAATCGAAATGTTCTTATAATGTGAAAAAAAAAAAGATGATTTGCATCAAAAGATGTAAACTTTTTTGCAATGTCGGTTAAATAAATTATAGTTAGGCAATTTTATGGGAAATTAAAAAAAGAAACAAAACTATATCGTATATTATTCAAAAGAACTGACACAAAAAATTTATATTTCTATTTTATGTGCTAGAAAATTTTAGACTACTACGAACTAAAAGAAATAATATTTGGTTTGTTTTAAGATTTATGCGTTTTAATAATATGCTGAATTTTAGACTTTATTACTGCAACAGAGCGATCTGTGTTTGTTTTATTTAGAAAATCCTTTATTTCGTTACTGGAAGGGTAGGTTTTCTTGTTAATGAATTCCTTAAATTCATCTTTAAGAACGTTTATCTCTGCAGATGACCAACCTAAAAGTAAATGGTGTTAAATCATTTTTATCACATTGCCCCTTAGAAGTTTTTGAATGTTATTCAATGATTGTGTTAAAACAGTTGTAAAATTAGATTGTTAAATTGCAATACTATTTACAGATTTAGGAAGATTTACAAAATAAGATTTGGGATGGTCCTGGGAATTTTAAACTGACATGCAAATTCTCGTCTTAATGATACTAATATTAATTTACGTTTTTTCTTAAGTTTCATTGGTCTGTCCTCTGTATCGGAGTCATCCAGTTGTAACTTAGGTTTTTTTACTGCGTGATGTTGTGATTCTAAAAATAAATATTGTATTAAAATTTTAAAAAGGCGAACGCAATTCAGGTTTACACAAGTCTTACTAAACTTAACTAAAGCCTTCGAAACTTAAAATAATAAATAGTTTGGGTCTGGATTTGCTACGCAGGCCCATACAGCATTCTTCATAAAAGTACCTAAACGTTTTCAGAATATCATATTGTTTTAGGTTCGGTCTAGTAACGGATACCTACATATCGACAGTGAAAACTTTAAAATCCACTTTTAGTTATTTTATGTGATAAACCAAAAAGGGAAGTCAAACCCAACATATTTTTATAAGAACTCAGTATAAGTAGTAGATTTTAATGAAGTAGTGCTACCAATTTCATTGAATAATTTAGACTAGGGATGTTTTGGAAAATAAGACTACTATAATAATTAGTATAAATAGTAAGAAATTCGACTTATGGGAATTTAAAAATCTACAGTAAATATTAATCACAATGCGAAAGTTATCTAACAATGTTTATTAGAGTATACTATTATGTTGAAAATATTACTTAAATTGTCATGATTTCTGTAGACTTAAACACTAATTAGTTTCACAGAGTGAAGTTATACCGATTGTGTAAAATCTAACAACCATACATTTATCAGACCATATATAAACGAGAAATCAAAAAAAAATCCGTCGGTCTGTATGTGTGTAACTCACTCATGTTTTACAAAAACAGCAGAACCTAATTTTGCGTGGTAAACCCTATAGGTTCCACCATTTTTGGAAAAAACGGTTTTTTCAAAATTTTTTAAAAAATATGCAAATTAAGGGTATACTTTATACAAAAAAAATTATGGTGAAGCCTAGAGCTTTATAATGAAGTTTCATATAAGGAGGTTGTCTATTGGGGTTTAATGCGAATTATTGCTATATTTTAAAGTTCAATATTTATAACGGCTATTTCATAGTATCTGTCACATTGACACATGTTAAAATGTCACTAATAAAACAACTCCTCCTTAGGGAATAGTTGTCTGGCGCACAAAAGACTACCCCTGAATTTAAAAACCAAACCTAAGTACAAAAACTAACCCGAACTAAACTTAAAATCTACCCTCAAACTCAAAATCACAATAATTCACAATAAATTAAAAATTTACAATAATTCTATCAGTGCTAGACATGCGTTGTAGGTATTTGTTACTAAAAACTATTCTAACTAGATAAAAATCACATTTTAATATTAACACGCTATAACATGTGTTTTCTCTGTGAAACTACAATGGCAAGTAAATTGGCATCAATCTTTTATAAACATTAGATAAAACCAAGTATGGTTCACTAAAAACGTATGCGTTGCGCATTTATATGTTACCTGCCAACGTGTTTTCTAAATTTTCCAGATTATCTGTGGTCATTGACAGTTTATGTGATGTCTTTATGGTTGGGGTCGTATTGAGAACGCCATTATCTAAAATTTATAAAATTAGTCTTTGTATCTTATTTTGTGGCAAACTGATCTTACCTTTTATTTCCTCTTCCAACACACATTCTTCATTAAAATCAAAATTTATTTCGGATAGCGATTTTCCTTTATATTCTAATGGCAACGATCCTTTCTCCATCATTAACAATATTTTCGACACTTTTGCTGTTTGATAAATATCCACCGGAAGTCTAAAATAAATACAATATGATGTAATCTTAGTAACAAGGAGAAATTTAATTTGGAGAAAACAAAAAACAATCTTTGAAACTTACTCGTAAAATTCATGGTGCGTTTTTTCTGTATGTCCCATGAAGTTAGAAAATTGTTTTATTTCATCTTTGGACATACTAAATATTTGCATCACTGTGGAAATATGTTTTCTTAATTTATTGCTGGATATTGCGTCTGGGTTTTCTAGCTTAATCATATGTGTAAGTCTTCTAAATGCAACGTCACCTTTTCCCCATTTTATGGAACTTTCTGGTAAGCCAAAAACATATTCATTATCATTTGCAAGATATTTCTCCCGGTGTTTCAGCAATGTTCCAATTAATTTTTGTAATTCCTGTGGTACTAGAATAACTACTGCTCTTGAACCTTTTCCACTATTTACGACACGTTTATGTTTATTGGTTAATAACTTTTCAACTTCTGTTAGTGCATTTTCGAAGTCGGCAAAATTTGTTTTACG